TTTTGTTTTGTTTTGTTTTGTTTTGTTTTGTTTTGTTTTGTTTTGTTTGTTTTTCCTTGGAATGTGTTTCAGCAGAGAAATTCCAGCTATTTCTAGCCAGGCCACACTTGACCTGCTCCTAGGTATATGAAGTTCCTCCTAACATTCCTTTGGACTTGACAAAGTGGTTAACACATGGCAATAGACTCAGCAGGGTGAATGTGCAGACTTTTGCTGTACATGTCGGATATATTATGAGGCACCTGTTTATAATGGCATTTATTTTTAGCAGAGCATGGAAATTGCCTACAGGATTGCCAATACTTAGAGCCCTCCAATGCTTCAGCCCCACAGTCTCCTGGAACTTATCCATCTTTCCTGGCTTCTGGCTTCACTCATGTATTCCCTTTACTTCAGAAGAGGAAAACTTAATATTGCTGATGCCACTCCCTACCTCAGCCCTTGGCTGCAAAGCAGAAGTAGTAAGTGAAGAGACACTGCTACTACTCTGCTGCTTATTGCAGTACTCCCAGCAAAACAAAATGATATTTAGTACCTGTAACTGCACAGGATACACAAAACAGAATTATAGATCAGGTAGAGTTGGTTAGATTTATTTTGAACAGCTATGGGAATAATGATGGATGAGGTAGGATTGGGTACAGTCATCTTGAATGATTACAGAGAAAAGCATTGATTATGAAGCACATACAAAAATAATCTGTTAGACCATTTTGTTTTTTGTTTTCTGAGAAACTTGTAGAGCACAAGTGAAGTATACTATGTATTAAGAGCCTGTTCCATATTATGATGAAAACAAATTCTATAAACTTTTCAGAATGACTCATGCTAGCTTCCCAAAGTAAGTAAATACCTACTAACTTGACAGCTGATGCAATATGAAGCTGAGTGCTTCCTTCCACTTTTATCGCACTTGGAGCCCAGAAAGAAAACATTTTAATAGAGAATAAAAAAATCCTCAATTTGTGAAACAACAGATCCAAACTCAAATAAATGGCAATACATGCAATAGTGCCATGCTGTGCTGGTACCGTGGGATCTTACACAGCCAACCTTATGTTCTTTATTGAGTGCCATATAAATGCAGGTGGATTCTTGCAGCAGCAATCTATTAGAAATTACATCACCCACAGTAATTTGTAGCATTACTGCTGTCAATATAAAAAAAAGTTGGCTCTGGTGTGGGTAAACAGAATGAGGTTCCTTTTTTTTCTGTCTCTCTTGTCTTTGGGTGTCAGCTGGAATAAGCAGGAGAGCCAGGAAGATCACTGGCTGTCCCTCTTTGCCTTGGCCTGCTGAGCTCAGCAGAGGGGAGGCTGCAGGCACTGCAAGCTGCACTGGGTCATGGGGATGGTAAGGATGGGACTTGTGCTGCCGCGGCGCTGAATACAAAGGCAGCTTTATTCTCGGGCAGGGTGACTCAGAGCTGTTCCAGGACAGTGTGCCTACACATGGGCTGAGCTCTCACTGCTGCATGGGGCAAGGAACCCGGAGTGAGGATTAGCGACTAACCATGTGAGCCGCACAGCACAGGCAGTGGTGTACCTGCTGGTAATCAGCAGCGCGTGTCTGTTCTCTCATTTAGGTCCACCAGACAGAATGAAATAACTGTGGCTCCCAAACCATTCAAACAAATCACTACTAATTTCTTTTGCTGTTAATGCTCTTTGATTTAAAGTGTAAAAAAAAAATAATTTTTAAACCACTTCAGTACTCAGTAAATCTGAACTACCACTTACAGTGGAATTTTTCTCAAATACCCAATCATATTTGAGAAAAAAAAAATAAGATATCAACATTAAATTCCTTAAAAATCTTGCTGTTATTCTGGCTTTGAAGATAAGTAGTGATGAATAGATAAAATTCAAGACTGGGAGTACATGTGTAGGCTCTGCTTCTAAATACTGCCAACTCCTGAGTATTAACTAGACAACTAGAAAAGAAAGTTGACTGGCATAGGCTAGTCAGTGAAGACTCAGTAATACAGACAGTAGACAAGATGCTAGAAAACATGCAGAATGAGGGGGAAAGAAATTTGAGAAGTCTGCTAATGAAGTCCATAATGGAATTTGAAAGACCTTTCTTATCAGGAATATTGAGCTCAGTTCTGCAACCAAAAAACTATAGCGCAGTATAGGGCAGTTAGAAGTACTCTGCAAAACCATCTTAATTGTCAACAAATCTTCACTTGAGGTGATAGCATTAAAAAGTTCAGAATTTAAAATATGAGAAGATTTGGTACGAAGACCTCTCTTTACAAGGGAATGTAAGCAGAAAGACAAAGAGAGAGGGATGGAATACCTCTTGGTTCTGCAGTTAGTCTTGGCTGAAATGAGTATTTGATTATGCTTGAAATATCTTCCAGAACAACAAAGGAAATCCCTATTCACCCTGAAAATTGCAATCCAGTACTTTCCTGAAAAATGACATCTGACAATGCAGGCCTGTAAGAAACCCAGTTAAAGTCAGTGGAAAGATGCTGGAAGTCAGTGGAAGCTGGATCAAAATGAAACATTTTCGGCAAGAGACAAAGGAGGAATCATTCCTCAGTCACTCTGGTGGAATTCCTGAATTCCTCTATTTGTTAAGAAGGCTTACTTTACAGGTCACTGACAAAAGGTGACAGCAGGACACTATGCAGAAACATGAGTTCAGATGGTAACTACAAAGTTAAGATCAAAGGAAGCAGGAGTGGACCAGTTTCAAGTTGTTCCTAAAATTTCACCTGCAGAAACCAGGAAGACTTACAAATAAGAGTAGGCATCACAGATGTGTTCATTTAGAATAGCATTATTATTTCATAATGAATAATTCGTAATAATTATAAAAAATGCAAAAGCCTATATTTAACCTTACTCAGTAAAGATCCTTATAGCAAAACTATGTTGCTCTGATGTTGCTAACACTTGTCTAAAACTATTATACAATCTAATTAGCTTAAACTTTATCTAAGTGTGTTCAACTTTCCATTAAGCAACACGGCAGCCAGGAACACAGCATGCAGGATCCTGAATCTGCCTTACTGACACTGGTGGCAAAACTCCCACAGACTTCAAACAGGCAGGACTACGCTCAGGCATCTCACATTTCCTGCTTTCCTCCATTTTCATTTCTAAGAGAATAGATTTCTTTTTAAGTTTAGTGGTCTTTAAACAGATTGCAAGCACTGCGGTTTTTAATTTGGACGAGTTGTTTAACAGTACTAACCTTAGCATTTTTTTCACACAGAAAATAAAAGCAGGAAATAGGGCAAAGTTATGACAATTGAGTAGTGGAAGCTTCAGAAAACACAATTTGTGTATTAAATAGAGAAAAGTTTATAAATGTGTTGGGGCTTCAGTTCTCAAAACTGATTGAAAAATGAAAGGAGAAGCAGGGAAGCTGAGATGCTTAGTGAATATCAATTATCCTGCTGAGGTAGCCCAATTATTAGCCAGCTGACTACACCTAGGATAAGCAGGATCCATCTGAGAAAAGCAGCAGCAGCCACGGAAGAGTATGACATCATAAAAGGCGAAGGATTAATGAGAGAAACAAACACATTCATAATTTATCTACAAAACAAACACAAATTGGCATCACTTTCAAAGGTTTGTGCAAAGTTACAGGGGATAAACAGTTATGCTCATATCCCATTTATATCTTTCTGCTTTATTTTGAAGAGCTGCCCTCTCGTTAAGAAATGGCAGCACTATGATGAGAAGAAAACAAAGACATTAACAGAAGTACAGATGTGACAAAATTTTGCCTATTAATGTAGTAAATAATCTAACAAAGTGTTAGAGTGATACACTGCTGTCATCTAAAGATCTTATGGTTTTAAAGGTTCTGATAATATTGTGCATTTTTTGGACTTGGCACTCTGTCTCTCACCAACATCCATGATAACACTTACTAAGCACACTGTCCTTTGAATTTCTGCAGCTCATAGAACTCAGAAATGAAAGAATAACAGTCCATTTCCATATTTTTGTTTTGTTTTGCTCTTTTCCAGAATGCAGTACAGTTCATAATATTTATTTGGAAAATACATGTTTTTAACTTGCCAAAAATAAAAGCCAGCTTCCTACCTCCCTCTAGCAGCTTCTATTTATTGTTCAAATCTTTAATGATTCTTCCTCTTTCATTTGCAAGAAGACTAGGTGAGGTGATTAATAAGAGCAATTTGTTGATAAGACAGCAAGTTAAGCAAATAAGGGTTGAAACAATGAAAACTGATAGAAAAGTCTGGTCAAGTTTACTGCTGAGTTGTTGTTTTTTAACTGTTGTATTAAATACTAATCCAAAAGGTAAGGGGAAAATATATGAATTATGAGAATTTGAATTAATGTAAAGAGGGAAAACTTCTCCAACAGCAGTTTAAATAATTGTGCTAGTGCCCTACAAGGATGAAAACTATGGTCTTGTGCAAAATTCAGAGATGAGAAAGTTTAGTGAGTTGGACTAGTGTGATTACTTCTGTAAAATGTAAAGATCATAACAGTTCTGGGTTGTGTCTAAAGTTTTACCTGTGGAATGAAATCATATTCAGATGAAGATGATGAAAAATAGAGTAAGTAGTACTTCAAAATTAAGGGAAAAACTGGAGTGTGTGTGAGGAATTTATTCTTACTTCAGCAGAAATAAGAAAAATGTTGGGCAAATATTTATAGAAACAATTTCTAGGAATGTTTCATAGAAACTATCAGAAATTACATTCAGAATAAGTTACATACAAGAACTCAGCTTCAGCATTTTAGTAGATCTAGTTAGACTAGTTAGGATGCCAGTAAGAAAAAAATATTACTTCCATTGTGGATTAAAAACTTTCAACCTGCAACCTGCTAACTTATTATTCTCCAAATTGTTGCTATGATGTGTTGTAGGTTTTGCTAAGAATCTTAACTAGGACAAACTCCAGAAAGTTGAAAACTTAACAAAGCATGATGAAACCAATGTTCTGGAGGAAGTAAAAAGGAAAAAAAAAAGAATTTGCTATGTGGATTTTCTCATTAGCCCAGGCCATCCTTGAAATACTTTATGACATACTAATAACACATAATACAATTGTCTCTGAATTTATAACATGTATTTATGGCACTTTATGGCTCACAGACGGTGAGCGAAGTAGACAGGCCTAGGGTTATCCCACGTAACAGTGACATATAATAGTATATAGAAGTAGTCTAGTGCTGTAACCACAGTGCAGTAGGGTAATCATGGAGAACACCTTGTTAAAGAAAATGCAGTAAACTGCGTGGCTCTGGTTTGTGACCATAGAACCATATATAGTCATAAATATTGACAGACAGACAGACACATGTACAAGAGGCATACACTGTCAGACAGGGAACTGACACATTTTTCATGTTTGAATGTGCTGGAGTAATCTCTCCCTCTTAAACAGCTTTTTTAATAGATCAGGAAAAAGAAACAAAATCCCAAGGACTGAGTGATGGTGTGGTGCCATGAGAAGAAACCAGATGTTCAGTCTGCAATAGAACAGATGCTGACAATATGGACTGCAGATCTCATAAAACACTCAGCAATAAGGTTGGGAAAAGCTTTACATTCTCCTGCAGCCTGGGATTGTTGGTGAGACCTGACACATGGTCTGAACTTCAAAGGTTTTGCTGGCACAACTGTATCATTTGAAAGTGTGAAAAAAAAACCACAACCACATGACTATACCCTACCATAAATGTAGTTCAGGGAGCAGAATAGCCCTTTCAGAGTCTAGGTTTATACTATACCAGCTAAATATTTTTTGCCAATAAGAGCTGCCTTTCTGCTGTGGGTATGTGGGAAGGAGATAGTACCATTTATAAATCCTTTAAAGTGTAGGTAAATACTACAGAAAACTGTAAGCACTGGTAACTACTTCCTGATGGTAAACTGGAAATACTGGACTATCTCTGAACTTAAAAAGCTCAAATTTACCACTGCAGTTCTCTAGGGTTAGCAGCTGAAGATTATGTAGGACTTTTGCCTATGCTGCAAAACGATATGTCCCATACACACGTCTTCCCCCTCCCATACACACGTCTTCCCCCTCCCTCCCAAGACTAATTATGTTTTGGTTTCCTCTCTTTAATTTGGTGCTAAGAGTCACTCCCTGCCCATCTGTCCCTCAGAAATCAGTGTGCTGCTTTCAAAGAAATCCCCTGAGGCCCAGTTTTCAGGAGGTGTGACCAATCTAACTGGCTGCCTTTGAGGCCATCCTAATGCTAGTGCCTCAGAGACCAGCAGAAGTCAGGAAATGAGAGCATATGGTAAATAGTTTAACGCATACTAGTTTGGCTTTCAACTCTAGCATGATTTTTCAGTGTTTTGCATCTAGTAAGATGTGTATTAACTCAAAAGGCTCTGGTTCAAATAAATGCGATGCCAATGGACAGATACCGTGCACCAGAGCTTGCTGCTGAAGGAAGTGCATCATGCCATACTACAGATACATCTATGATGGTATTCAGTTTTCTGGTGAATGAAACCTGAACTCTGAAAGATGATCTGTTAGAGTTCAAAGAAGATCAGTGGGTTTAAATCTAAACAAATATGATAATCAGTATTAGATTTGTGAGTACACTCAGAGAATTCAGGTCCCTAGCAGTTACATATTTACAGACTAGCAGCAGCTCTAATAAGCCAATAATAAGCAATGAAGTCATACTATTTGTAATACCAGCTGTTGATTCTGTTAATAAAAGTTCTATAAAGTCATTACCGTTTACTATCGATGCTTCTTTTTTCTCTTACTGCCTCTTTTATGGTACCAGGTTGGATGCTATGAAGAAAATAAACATTAATTAGAGTAGGTTAATCCTCTAAACGGAGTGTGGCATAAACATCTTCTCCCTTCATTTACCTGATATTGACCACATATACAGTGTAATTCCAGTTCTGGAAAGTATGGTTTAGCTGAAAAACAGGAAAGCATTGATCACAGAAATGGCACATTAGTAGAGCATTTTGTCATTTAAAACAGAACTCCACCTCTCTTTCCCCCAGGAAATTCCCTTCAATTTTTCAAAGCAAAAAGAACACACTCCCATCACAGTGAGGTGATTGTTAAATTGTATGTACAATTGGTAGTGAAAAATGTATTCATTTCTTTTACTGAGAGAAGGAAATCTCTATGAGGTCATGACAGTGAATAGGTGAGTGCACAGGATGTGGAACTTTTCTCCCTCTCTGTCATCTTAAATTCTCAGAAGCACTGTAATTAGAAAAGATTCACTGACAAAAACACAGGGTCAGTATTCACCTAAATAAAAATCAACTGCCTTACGATAACCTCTATTTCAGACTTTTCTACAGCTTATTCACAGTTGGCAATGGCTGCTCAGTTTTCCCCTCTGGAGAACTGCTTGCATCTTCTGCCAGAGCCAAGTGACACCTTTATAGATTCTCTGGATAAGGCACCAACATACTTCACCTGGCTACTGCTGCTAAGGGAACAACTTTAGCTGGTGTGGATGACTGCATCTACGGTTTATAGAGGATTATAAATGGTTTTTCTTCTCTAGCTTCTGAAAGCTGAAATCCTCCAGGTTTATTAAAGAAAAATAAATACTAAATACCATATACTTATGGCATCACATTTTCATGTAAATAGTTGGTAGACAGTTTGCAGAATGTGTGTCATTATGTGAATTGTCAAAAAAGAACAGAGAATATCTCTATTCAGACAACGAATTTTCAGATGTAGAAACTTCAATAATCCTTCATTTTGAGGGCCTGATAAGGAGCTTATTTCTGCTAAAATGGGCTGAAAATCTAAAACTACTAGAAATCCCAACAGCTGACCTATGGGAGAAAACATCTAAAGCAGACAATACTGTAGTGAATCGGAAAAGTTTACTGCATCACACAAATGAACACTGCATGTTTATTGTTATGTCTATCAAGGTTCTGCACCTGGGTTTGGGTAAACCTAAGCACAGATATAGGCTGGGTGGAGAATGGCTTGAGAGTAGCCCCAAGGAGAAGGATTTGGTCAGGTTGGTTGATGAAAGACTGAACATGATCCAGCAATGTATGCTTGCAACCCAGAAGGCCAACTATACCTTGGGTTGCACCAAGAGAAGAGTTGCCAGCTGTCAAGGGAAGTAATTCTGCCCTTCTACTCTGCTCTCATGAGACCCTACATAGAGTACTGCATCCAACTCTGGGGCTCCCAACAGAAGAAGGACATCAAGCTGTTGGAGCAGGTCCAGAGAAGGCTGTGAACATGATCAGAGGACTCAAGGACTCTGGGGACAGGTTGTGTGTTTTTCAGCCTAGAGAAGAGAAGGCTCTTCCAGTACTTGAAGGAGGCCTGCTGAAAATCTGGGGGGGGGTAGGGGGGGTGATGGTGATGATAGATGGGGGGGGGAGAGAGGCTTTTTATAACGCCTTGTAGGAACAAGGCAAAGGGAAATGGCTTTGAACTGGAAGAGGTAGATTTAGACTAGATATTAGAGAGAAATTCTGTGTTGTGAGGATGGTGAGATGCTGGAACAGGTTGCCTGGAGAGGCTGTAGTTGTCCCTACTCTGGAGGCATTCACGGACAGGCTGGGTGGGGCTTTTAGCAACCTGGTATAGTGGGAGGTGTCCCTGCCTACAGCAAGGGGGTGGGAACTAGATGATCTTAAAGGTCCCTTTCAACTCAAATCATTTTATTATTCTGCCACAGTGTAACTTCAAAACCACATTAGTATTCGAAGATAGAATTCGTGTACTGACACAAGAACTTTTAAATCTACATTGTTCAGTGGACAACTTTGATTTCCACATACTTTCCAAAATTTCAGCTAGTATCTCCTGTCCTTAAGATGCTGGCTGGTATAGTGGAAACATTTTGGAATTTTATCCGTAGTTCTAAACTCCCAAACTAGACCCAAATTAATTACTGCATAAAGTAAGAAAGAAAACTTCACTTACCCATTCTGCAACCACATCATGTACTTTTGATTCTGAGTTGGAGTTGTAACTAAAGACAGTTATAGATATCCTGTAGAATAGCCCACCTGTCCAGTAAAAACAGCAATAACATTAGAAAGTGAGCAAATTTGTTTTTTCAATAATATGAGACTCTAGTGTCATGATGAATATGGAAAATTGGGCTGAATCCCATGTACCTCAAGCTCTTGTTGATAGTGTATGAGCCTGGGATGAGCAAGCCCTGCAGGCTTGCTTGTTACCATTCTCACTAGTCCTATCAATTTCAACAGGAATTCCCTCCCTCTCCATACTGATAGAGACACTTGAAATATGACATGGAAACTCAGAACTAATGCATCTATAAATAGTATTCTGCATATGCCTTTTTTGGAGCAAGATCATGGAAGCATCAGGAATTTTAAAATAAACAGAATTACTGAAATCTGTAACACAGAAAATTCTTGTGCTCAGTCATATTTTTATAATCCAGAAACAACCACTACAAATTTGACCAAAAAAATTATGAGAGCGGACAAAGCTCATCAATTAAAAGTCACAAGATGATTGGGAACAGAACTAGGAGAGAGAAGCACTCCAATTCTTATTTTCTCAGCACATGCTTTGCTCTCAGGTCTAGTAATGTCCAGACAATAGAAGAACTCATGTTAGCTTTATTAAAACTGGCAGCTGAACAAACCATCTTTCAACCTGAAAATGTGCAACATATGGCTTAGAGAAGTCTCATATTCATTAAAGTTGTTTTAAACTGATACCAGGTAAATATCAATTCTCTTTAAGCTTATGAGCTGGCAGACAACATTTGTCATAAAAATTGAATCAAATAAACATTACATCTTCTTATGGTTTTGCTCTCTGTTAATCACTTTTACTTATGATAACAAAATTATCATTAAGCTACTAAAAATTCTATCCACTCTTGATGAAGAAATTGGCCCAAGATGTATGTAGGGGGTTGAGAACTTCTGCATCAATTTATCCACATGCATGTACCCACGTGGCATTATTGAGTATTACTATTTAGGGCTATTACCAAATGAGGTTGTGGCTCTTGATCACAGACATATTTTTATGTCTCATAATTTTAAAACATATTTTTAAAGAAATCTTATGCAACTATTACAGAGGCACTACACAGAACAGACCATGATCTGAAGACAATTACAGTGAAATAATCTCTTACTATCTCTTGGCTGGAAAGCAAATACTTTTTCTATGTCAGAATATTAAACAAATGACCATTTGTTCTAGTTTTATACATATGGAGGAAATTTCATCATTTTACAGCTTCATAGATAATCATTTTACAAGAACTTAAAATTATCTGAAGTATCTTACAATTTTCCAATTTAATTGTAATATTGGTTGCTATTTCTTTCCATTCATGAACCTTGCTCTGTCTCTTCATAAGGGACTGATCATATTTTCATCATATTTTCAGCAAGATAAGTATGAAAATTCCCTGAGATAAAGTGGCAAATAATAACTTTCATACAGGAAGACGGTTTGCCAGTTACCTTTTTTGGTAAGAGATATGAATTTGCCTGTTTTTCAATTGATTGCCTATTTTTTTCCTCCCTTAAATCAGCAAACATTCAAATTTAGTGTGTACTTCAATTGGAAAATGCTGTGTCCATTGTTATTATTACTGTGACAGTAAAAGAAAAAAAATAAGTCTTGATTTTGGACCTTTGGGAAATTGAAAACACTTCAAATTAAGACAGAATCCCATTTATATGTATATATTTTGTATATATACATATATTTCAGTTTATATGTATAATGTACCTCCTACATGTGCTTATAGATACACATACATAGAAAATGTGCATTATGTATATTCTTATAAATTCACATATACCTTATATATAATTATAGTCTCATTTGAATAATTATATATGTGGACGAAATCAACTTAATACAGGAATATGCAAAGTACTTTTAAAATTAAACTTAGTATCTACAAACAACAGTCAACAGCTTCAAGATCTACACCAGATGGTGAATAAAAGAATGTTTTAATGAAGCAAAAGAAGAACAAGAACAAAGAACTAATCTACATTTTATAACACTCTCAGGAGACTGCAGTCACAGATAGTGAAAATTAAGAAAAATTTCTCACTCCAAATTAAACAGTGGAAATCCCATCTCAAAGTACTAAATAAAAAAAAAATATTTTCATGGGCAGAAAATTGATGAAAAGAAGCCAAAGATAATCTGGAAAAAAAGAGAAAAAAAGAAGTCGGAAAAACAGTTCACCCACACCCAACCCCAACTACAAACAATGGAATGATCAATGGAATACCACAAGTTTCGTTTCTGTTAGTTTCTTTTGTGAAATATTTTCTTCAGGAAATTAAACCCCCAAATATATAGGTACTGTAAGTGAAAAACACGCAAAATAATTCAAATAATGAAGTGGCATAAAAATGCATAAAATGCATAGCAAATCAATCTCTATTTTCAAACTATTCTCACAGTCTCATGAGAGTTGATATAGAAAAGGACACAAAAATTAGAAATTACATGTTAATGACATTTACTATCCCCAAGATGTTACAAATTCCCTTCTAGTGTAACTAAAATACTATTTTAAAATATGTTTATATGTTAAATGAATCTATATCTAAAGAATGAAATTCAGCTACTTCTACATTCAATCTACCAACTGAATAGTAGATAAGATGATCTGTTTTTTTTTCTACATCTAACTTCATAACATACTGTAGTTGATCTCTTGTCGGCACAGGCAGCCCAACTCAGGGAAGATACAAGACAAAAGGACTGTGGGACAGCTAGTAAGTTGATTCAGTGGTGGGAAAAAGGTGGTATTGTGGCTTGTCTCAGATGATGAATTAGTTAAGGAATGAACATATGATAAAACTGATGACTGATGGTATATTACAGGTGAAACTTGCATTTGGGAATGCATGTGAGAGTCATGGATTGCTGCTCCAGATGTCATTAGAGAGTGGTGCTCTTTGTGCTGAATAGTAATTCCACTGTATGAAGATGGCAAAGGTGTCACATCATTAATTACTGAAGTTCTTGATATCAGAAGGGAAGAGAAGCGTCCATAATCAATATTTTCAAAATCCAAGACAGAAGTGCTAAAAATATTCAGAGAAGAAATTCCTCCTCTGTTCTTGCTGAAGGATCCATATACCTCTCCTTCCAAATTCTGATCTGAAAGCCTCAATTTGTTAGTTGATGTCAGAATAGTAGAATTCTTTTTTTCGCTATTAACACTAATGATTTCTTGTTCTCCTGCCCTTGGAGAGTATCTAATACTGCCCTCTTGATTTTCGTTGGAGTTTTTTCCATCTAAGACTGTTATAAGACTTCTTGCTATTTCTGTTGTAGGCAAGTTTAATTCCGCTACATCCCATGCAGGGGTCAGGCTTGGAGAAATTATATCAAGGTGGTTCTGAAGATTCTGTGGGAGTGGAGGTGTAGAGTAGCTGTTGGGAGGTACAGTGATTCTGAATTTTGAGTCTGAATGAGGAGGCTGCTTCAATTCCAAAGACAATGTCGTTACGAATAAGTCAGAACTGTTATTTTTTATAAAAAACCCTGCATCTACCTGAACTTCGCTTCTTGCATTATCACCAGTATTTGTTATAGTATCATTCTCCAAAGCACTTTCAAACTGCCATAATACACGTGTTCTTGTACTGTTTACCAAACCATTAACAGGTGCATTGACCGAGCAAACAGTTTGGCCGTCCTTTGAACACGAAGGCTGGATTCCTGAATGTGTTATAAGGACAGAAGCAAGCTGCTGCCTGTTGTTTTGGACCATCACATTGGTTCTATTTCCTATTACATCAGTTCCACCTTGCATACTTAAACTATGATAAAACATTAATTTTTCCGTAGAGTTTGCAAGCGTCTTGTCAAAGGGACTTATCTGCACAGACTGGTGATGCACAGGTGCTTCAAGAGAAGGGAAAAGAAAATCAAAATATAACTCATCACTGGAAGATACAGTTAGATTTGCAAAGTTCACTGTTGACTGCAACTGTGATATTGTCCTGTCATTTCTTTCCAAAATTCTCCTTGAAAGGCCTGGATTAAATAAACTGAAGATTTGCCTTTCTGAAGCCATGGCATGGCTAGAGAAGTTTATTTCTTCAGCTCTGTGATCTATCGACCTAATTGTAGAAGTTTGTTCAGAGATACTGTCTGACTCAGTAGGTGAGCTAATGGATGGCAACCTTTTTGTTGGGTTAGAAAGCAATTCATTAAATGAGACTAACTGATTTTTTGATGACACCCCAGGAAACACTTTCAAATGATAGGAAACCGTCCAGAAATTTGATGTCAAAGAAGGGGAAATATCTAAATATTTTGTTGGAAAATGTAAGTAACCTGGCTTCCAGGAGATGCCAACTCTGTCAATATTCTCAGGTTCTAGTATAGAAAAACCTGACTCTTCACTTTTACTATGGAATGCATCTAAGTTGTTCTCAAGTACTATCTTTCTGAGGGTCTCACTTGGCTTCTTTTGAATATATGCAGAATGTTTTAAATAATTAGACCAGTAATCAGTATTAGACATAAATATGCTGTCACTTTCCAAAGACACGTCCATCAATGATTGCTGATATGTAGGCAATGTTGCTACAGCATGCTTAAATGCTGAGTTAGTCCAGATTGTTCCTACTGGAAGTGCTGACATAAGTTGTTCTCTACTGTACACTGTCACAGAATTTGTCAGCTGGCTATGAGGCATAATTTCTGTATACGTTTTTTTCATGTTAGAAGAAGTTGTTGGGTTTGTATGTGGCATGTCCACAGAGGTTGATCTTGTAAAGCCTCCTGAGTAATGCTCCTTAATGTACATAGATGTAAATGGAAATTCACTGTTAGCTGCTAAAATGGAAAAATATTTCTTATTAGTGTTGCCTTCTATCATTTCTAGATAAACATTCTGAGGCTCAAAATCAAGCACATCCAGTCTACTTCTTTGCAACAATGGCTTCTCCTTCATAGGTGATATAGGTAAGCTAGAAAGAGAATGATACTTCTCTTCTTTAATGTCAGAGGTGATATGATGATGAAATACAGCCTCATTCCAACTTTCAGGCTTCAGGACATCATTTATATGCATGAAATTGAGTGTGTCGTTACTGGAGGATGAAATCCACGGGGCTTCTTCTCTGTGTTCATAAGCAATGCTTCTGCTAATGGGGAGATGGAATGCTGACTCAGAGTCAGCATAACGCAGCCCATCTGCCAGAGTCCGTGCTTCCTCTGCAGTGAGACTTCTGTTTTGAAGAGGAAATGCTGCATCCACAGAATGATCTGCAACATCATCTGCTGCATCATAAGTGCCATCAGATGAAATTCTAGAATCATTCAGAATATTTTCATTTGGTAACTGATTCATCACAGTATTATCTAGGTCAATATTTTCTGTAAAAGAAGCCAAGGTACCAATGCTGGTCTCCTCAGAGGCAGATGATGTGGACACAGTTGAATGAAATAAGCTGTATGTGTTCTTTCTCTCCAGATTCTCATCTGCTGAATTTTCACTGAAACGGGGAGGCCTTTGTTTCACTGGCCAAATAATTGGGGTTGAGATAATTCCTATGGTTTTGACCCCTTCTATCCTAGACTCTTGCTGCCTTTTTGGTCGTGAATGGAAGGATTCAGGTGAATTTCTCTTCATTCTGAAGATAACTGCAGCAGGAAGTCTGATTTCCTGCAGGTCTGTGTAGTAAGCCACATAGTTAGCGGATTAAAGAAAATATGTGAAACTTAACTTTCTGTTCTCAGCTGTCTGTTCTAGGGCAATAAACCAACTTACCACCAGGAACTATACCAGTTAGCTGAATGAAAGTTTAACTTGCTTCTGCTGTAAATAAATTCGGCCTACTATTCTCAGATTTTCTGCTTTCTCTTGATAGCAATCAAATCAAATTTCAAAATCAAATAAAGGGCAACTTGTCTAGTTTTTATACACACTAACATTATCAGGGTGTTCAGCTCCTTCTGTGTCTGGGAAAATCAAAGTTGAATGTTCATGGTGAACATGGAGTGAGTGGTTTCACAAAAGAAAAAAAAAGCACAGTTTGTAAGTAAGTTTCAAGATTTTCTTTTTACTTCTACTGCTTACTAAATTCAAACAGAATGAGTTCAGATAAATTCTTTCACAGTGTCTATTATACTGCCTGATTGCCAATATGCAAGAAATGATTTGCCAAAAGGAGAAGCACTCCAAGAATGCTAAATCCTACAGTAACAACTGACACATTTGGGGAAAAAAAAAAAAAAAAAAAAAAAAAAAAAAAAAAAAAAAAAACAAAAAAAAAACCCCAAAACCCCAAGCAAACAAAAAAGTACTTCCTCCATCCCCAGCCAAAACCAGATACTGATTTACTTCTGGGGAGCACAAAAAATCTTTAGTAAAAAGATCTATGAGCCTCATATGAGAACTGCAGAAAACTATTTCTGTATTCTTATTAATGTTTAACAACTTTCTTTAGCAGAACAATTTTAGAAACTTCTCAGAAAATGATGCTCAGTCTGTAGGAGACGATGATATCATCAACTTGAGAAAACCTCAAAAGACATCCTTGCTTTTTTCCTGTACTAATAATAGAATCATTTACTATCTGACTTTCTCCCCTTAATCTTGCTAAATGAAAAGTAAATGATATCTGATACTGTCAACATTTTCCCTAGTAGAGTCTGATCCAGCTCTTGAAGTCAGTGGAAAGATTCCTATTGACTCAGTGGAAGTGGCTTTGCTCCATAGGAATGATTCCACTTGGCTTCCCTGTGTTACCAGTGAGGAATAGAGAGTCCCAGCATACTACCACCCTGGCAGCATTAGCCACTCAATGTCTGATTATCCACAGCATTAAAGCATTTCAAAAGTAGAATTTTTTACAGTTCCTTTTTAAAAATAATTCTCCCATCCCTTATTCTTTGCCTGGGTAAATTCAATGGGCAGCACAAAAGAACAAGGTAAACATGATACAAATAAACACTGAATTTGGTTCTGTTCTCATACCATTCTTACAAGGGCAAGTCTAATAAAATTACTCCAATTAAACAGAGTAAATGAAATACACTGAGACATGACCCTTGACATTACACTATGAAAAAACACATCTTAAAATACAATAAATTTTCTCTAGAGACAGTACAAGGTAAAATGTAACACAGGATTTCTTACCATTGTTTGGCTTATCGGTTCTATTAGTATCAGGCATGTTAGTGGTGACAGTGGGTGGTGTAGGAGTAGTAGCATTTACAGTAGCTGGTAATAAAGATGAGAAAGAGGTGAATTTGAATGAAATATGAATGTTAATGAGGTAAGACAAAACGGGAACAATGCATGACAATGTAAACTGAAACCATTGATGCACAATGCCATATATGTTAAACATTTTCTCTTCTGTACAATGTGATGAATGGACATGAACTGAGATCCTAGTCCTGCAGTCTTCACTTTCACTGACTTCAGTGGGAGTTTTGCCAGTGGGAGGGTTGCAAGTCCTGTACTGCTTTCACAAATTGTAAATCCTCTTATGAGAGCATCAGATCCAAACAGCTGTGCAAAGACCAGAAAACAGACCGTACAGCTCAATGATGAGTGTACTTGGAATAATTACTTGTGAAAAGAATAGCTGTTTCTACTCAGGGACTGAAGACCATGAATAAATGTGAAAACAAAACACCCGTATAAGTTTCTAATTAACTCAATTCAACTCTATATAGTGAAGAGTATTTAGATCAGACTTGGAATTATTTGAGTGGAACATATATTTTGAAAGCTTCATGTAGGATCTTAGTTGTACTGTTCCCACTGACACTAACAGGAGTCATCCCACACAATACTGGAACATGTTTCCCAGGAGAACTAGCTAGAACACTTTTCACATTCAGAGTAAGGAGCCAAAACTGAAATTTTCCCTCACTGAAGACTGGGAGGGTATACACTCTAGAGGAAAAAGCACTTCAAAGATCAGACCACTAAATTTTCAAATAGTTTGGAAAATAATTTTTCTAATAGCTCCCTGGAACGTAAATCTTCTCACTGACAGATTTCTTCTTTCCCTGAAAACTCTTTCCACAGAGTGAAGATTTGAGCAGTATACTCTCACAGTATTACATATCTTTTGCAGAGTTTGAGAAAGAACCAACTTGGAAAGTTTAGTTTATCATATTTTAAGTAAGAAATTGCATTTCTGATTTTTGTTAGGTTGTTTTAGTCAACATTTTGAGTCTGAAAGTCATAACCTCAGGTCTCAGCTGAGGGAGTGGTTCATGTTCAGGTTTCAGTGAAACAAGAAACTTGAGGAAAAAGAAGGGAGATTGCAATAAACAGGGATTCTAGCTGGAAAAGTGAGCATATAAAGTCACAATCTATAATATAAAAAAGCTCTTCTTCTATGCAACTGCAGGGCTATATTGCCTGAAAAACAATTTTTAATGCTCCTTAGTGATTTTATCTTTCATCCAACGTTGTTAAAAGTGATATCTTTCAATGAATGAAAATAGTTGCTAAGCATAATGAAGAAAACAGCTTTGTCATCAGACCATATATGACACAGTCTAGTGATATTGCAAAACACAGAACAAACAAACAAACCAAAGAGGAATCCAAAGTAGCCTTTCAGCTTAAAACAAGCTTGCAGCACTGAAAGAAATACACAGACAGACATGTTTTTATGATTTTTCATTATTAGGACAGTGATGATGACGATGACGATGATGATAACGAACAGCATGAATCCAATTTGCCACATTCAAAGTAGCAAATGGAGAATGCCAGTGACACTTGACCAAACACTTTTCAGAGCAGAAAAGTATTACTCTGGTGGAAAGTACTCATAAAGTTTGTTAAGTCTAAGACTGTAAGGGAGGAAAGCTGGGAAGGGAACCTCTTTTGTTAGAAGTAGTATCTTCTGCCTAACACGTTAATAAAGTTGAGGCTTTATTAAGTTTTTAGGAAAACATAATGTTTTTGTCTGAAAGTGTGTTTATGCCATGCCATTTTAGTAGAAGAAGTCTTTCAGAGTTCTTTCAAGAGAAACATATATTAACAGTGGCTGTATTAACTTTTTGATAGAAAAAGAATACCAGTGAATAAATGATGCTGTCCCATTTACATAAGATATTTGGGTACCAGTTTTTGTAACTTACTGTGCTTTGAGACACAGATGCATGAAAATTGCTCTTTGAAAACTGATTATGGACACAACTGGCATGGCATTTCACTTTCCCTATGGGGACCTCCATATGATCCAAGACTCTGAGCAGAATCTACCTTGGAAATACCTGAGAGAAGTACACTGGAGACAATCACAGATCTCTTACTGGCTTCCCAAAAGGAGTGCATTTTCCTTTCTAACTTTAAATTAAATCTGGTTTACTTGCATAGAAAATGCTCCAAGTCTTCCTCCCCCTTTTGTATGTTCTCTGCTGTCTAGTGTTTTATTAACACTTGATGCTGCATTTTCAAGTCTGAGGTTAGATTTTTTTTTTTTTTTTTCTTCTAATCTCAAAGTATTTAGCATCAAAATAACCTACTGGAAATACTGGAAAAACCTTAATAACAATCAGATGCTTTGTTCATATAGAATTTTTTTTTAATCTAAAGATGTACCTATTCCCTATCCTGTTTTACATTTTACTGTTAAAATATGCAGGAGAAAAAGAGCTGGAGAGAGAATGAAAGCAGTCAATTAACTCAGTTTTGATATAATAATGACCATTTGAAAAACTTAGTATCAAGAGAGTAATAATATTTTCTCCACCCATTGGATACAGGACATCCACAAATTTGATGTGACTAAAGAATTCCTTTCTTTACAACTACTCATTGCAGTTCAGTCTTTCAGAAATAAATAAACTAAAAAAGAAGAAACAAAAAAAAAAAAACACAAAAAAACTAGGAAAATTAAAATGTAGAAAAGATGAAACTGTGAAAATAACCTGATTTCCTTACCTTGACAAAGGCTTCCTAGGTTTGCACAACTTGTTGGTTCAATTGTAGAAGAAGGAATTAGGTATGAGCCTTTAAAAGAAGAAAGTCTAACAGTTAGACAGGTTTGTCTACTGAGCATGAAATCAACAGATATATTGCAGTAACACAGTTCTCTTCATAGTTTCTCTCACTGACAAAACTGGTAATACCATTTGCCTATAAAACTCTTGCATTTTTGTCTTTTGTTCCTGCTGAGGGATCCATACAACCCTCACTGACTTGCAAGCCACAGTCACATATCCTCCCCTAGTTTTCTCATGCTCTTCCCAGCTGTAGTTAAATAACAGCCCATTAAATGAATGCAGCTTGTGTGTACTCTGAAATGGCTCTACACTGAGGGGTCAGTATGACAGAATTTATGCTACCTTCACAAGCAACAAAACATGTGCCTTGGAGACACATCCATCCTCTGTTTTGCAGCACAGGTTACCCACACAGTTCTGAGTAATCTGCCTGTGGCAGACACCAGCCAGATAAAAGGTGATTAAACTTGTTACTGTGCCCAGGGTGTGGGCATGATTAATATTCTGGTATGCATGATTTTTAAGCAGATAATGCTGTAAGTCTGTATCTCTGCTGAATAATTCATCACTGCTTGAACATAATCCGAAGATCTAGATACAAAAATGGGGAATGTAAGAATGGCAGAAGGAAAGAGCAAGTCAAACTGCATTAATTACATTTTGTGTATTGCAATGGGTCAGCTGTAGATACAGCTGCTTCTGCACATTATGCTGAAAATAATGGAGCCATACAGCATGGCATACTCTGAACCTACTGGGAGTGTTGCCCTTTTGGCTTTCATTTTACCACTTCAGAATTGTATTGACTCAGTGAGGTTCTCTCATAAAACACCGTATCTTTCCATTAAATTAAAGAGTCACCACCCACAGCTTGTAAAGATAGCTGAGAAAATATTTCCTGTGGTGGAAGAACAGACAAAGTGTGGGGCCTCAGTGCAGAAGTCATGACATGCCACAGATACCATTATATGTATTGCCAACAGAAAACAGGGAAGAATTTAAAAAGTGATTCTGTACAGTGATTAAAGCTGCATAGTTTTCTGTAGGGTTTTTTGGTTTTGGTTTTTTTGTTTTTGGTTTTGGTTTTTTTTTCGGGGGGGGGAGAGAGGTGCACGTGTGTTCATTTTATTTTTTTTGTTGGGGGGGGTTTCTTAATAGATTGAGAGATTAACATTAAGACAAATTGAATTCCTTGGTGCATTTCCTTTCAACTTCAGGAAGAATGTTCTAAGTGAACATAATATATCCTGCATGAGATTTTTTCCCAACATATATTTTCTAGTATTAAACAGTCAACACCAAAACCTGCTGTGAGTAACCTTCTCTTGGTTCTGTACCAGGGAAAAATGACTTGAAAGATGGCAGAAAATCTGCAGACTTGAAAGAATTTTTGATCCAGAATACTGTATTCCTTTAAAGAGAAATAAATTTAGTCAATATATTAGATGAGCTTTTTAAAGTTTTTATCAGGCTGAACGCTGGCCAGATGAGACTTTCCCTCAGCAAAGAATTGTAATGGTCTGGCTACAAAGAAATACTTGGCATTAGCTCCCTTAATAAATGCAGCAGTATTATCAGTAATGTGAACAGCAGACATAGTCCTGCACTACAGACAAATTCGTGTGATAAATCTCACCAGCTTAAAACGTGTAAAATTCAGACTTCTGTACCTGCTTGTCATGCTAGATTTTCCTTACAGTCGGTGGAGGGAAACAGGCACTCCTGCAGCATAAAACTTCTGACGTAACTGACACATCTACCCTAATGTGAGTTGAACTGACACTGAGAACAGCCTTTTTCTCTCCTCAATTCAAAGCCAGCACTCAGTGTATTTAGCTCAGCTTTAAACACCTATCCTTCAGCTACCTAATGAAGACAGATTCCACCCTAGCTAAGTTTGACAGCAAAATCAAGAACTTTTATTTGGGAATGAAGGACTTAAGTAAAGTACACAATGGAGAAATCTCAGGTACAAGTGAACATACAGCCAAGCAAGCCTTAGACTGAACAGGTCACGTGCTGCTCTAAGTGTAGCCACTACAGGCTCCAAAATCATTACAAGAAGTTGATTAAATACTCAGAATTGTCTACACTGAGCTCTGCACTGATGGTGTCAGTGCTCTCGCTACCTAAACTATTTATTTTAAAATTAGTTTGGCTACCCAGGCTGTGTATATATACCTTTAAATGCAAACCCTGCAAAGGTACAGCAATGAAAACAGAACTCTGTCAAGTCTTCCAGAAACATCCCACCATGATTGCACAGCTGTGAAAACATTAGTCTAAGGAATAAGCTAGGAGAAGGTAATTTAAAGAAAAGATCATTGGGAACAGTTTGTTGGTGTTTTTATCTTCCGTAAGCCTACTTGTAAAGGCTTTACCTGAAGAATGATGAAAATAGTATCTCTTGAAAAATCTAAACACTGTTCAGGCAAAATGTGTTAAGATCGTCACTAAATGCTGGGGCTGGTTTTTTCTTTTTTTTGTTTCTGTTTTTTCTATTACAAGCAGTTCCTGGGAAAGCATTACTGGTGCTCAGAGGAAACTCTTTTCTGCATAAATCCTTCCATTGCAGCTAAATGAAGTCTAATCAGTTAATCTCACCAATGTCAGTGGTTTATTCATGGTTGATAGTCTGACGCATCAACCCTCCTGTTAAGGGCTGGTTTTACAATTACATCTTTTATTCAAGATGATGAAGGGAAGAAAATTCTAACAATTCCATCTCTGAGATTAATAACAGTTTCTGAAACTGCATTGCATCCAGTGTTTTCTTTTAGGACATGCTTTGTTCTAGGGAACCCTGTATAGTAGTGGGAAATTTAATATCCTTGAAAAAGACTGGTTAGTATTTTCACCCTGCTTACTTACAGGAAGCAACAATTATTATATAGAGATACACTTGAAGCAAACATGGAAAATGGGGCCTACACTTCTGTAAATGTGAGAAAGCTCATACATATTTTCTAAAATAACATTCTTTCGTAAGGAAACCACTTAAACAATGACATCCCCCAAAATAAAGCTGTGATGTGGAATGAAAATAACTGTACTGTTTCTATGAGCACAGCTATAGTGTGACAATGTCACAGGACTGTGTTAATAGAAAAAGGGACAAGATCCATACATCGGTCAAAACCAGATAAGACTGCAGTATCTACAGACACCTTGGTATGTAGTTTAGTAAAAGTGTTGTAGCCTTCATGGATAACAGTTTAAGAAAAGTAAGATTTTTGGGAAAATTATTTTCTTTCAGATCTTTACTTGCTGTTTGTATGGGCAGAAAAGCAACTTCTACGTTCGGAACAACTTCATCAGCCATGACCAGTGTTTAGATTGCCTTTTCATTGTTCTGGTAGGCACCTAGTGGCATGCTAAGAGCTGTCTCAGTGAATCAAGCTACTTCATATTTCGCTTTCAGTAAACTAAAGCAGGTAAGATACAATATGCTGGCCACCTTAAACCCTCATGAGCTAATAGATACAGAAACTAGCAAGTCTTAATTTTGTCAGGTACTGTTTTAAGCATTCCTAGAATGCTGACAGGTGCTCTGTTACGAGACAGTGATACTTTTTAAACTATATTTAAACTAAAAAGTACTAAAGTGGAGAGGACAACATTAGATATAAAGAGACCTTACATACTTCAGAACCAGTATTTGGAATTCTTAACTCTGATATTTTTATTTTTTTTTAACAAATGTATATTTGCTACAATAGAGAGCCTTAGACAACATGAACAAGGAGTTCCATAGCAGTAGATTTTCAATAGCATCCTACATTCATGTGTAAGGTATTGCTGGCCATGTCTCCAATTTTACCCTATGCATTTTAAAACATCCAAATATCTCTGATGCTTTCACTAATCAAAGCATTTGTTTCCTTCCTAAAAAAAAAAAAATAAAAAAATTATATTTATATGTATGTATATGTATAGCTCCCAACTGGCATGGATTTTTTCAGTTACAATTATTCTTCCTTTTTCTGGTTAAAAATTCTGGAGGAAATTGTTGAATAGCTGTAATAATACATGCATATATACAAATCACACCTAGGCATGAATAAGAACAAAGTGTCTGAGCCACAGAATGAGAATAGCTTTGACTGAGTATGAAAATTTGTCTTTCAATGTAATCTACTGGAAGACTGTAGTAACTGCCAGTTTAAAGAAGGGCAGAAAATATATTGTCAGGATGACAAGAATGAATGATTTTGACCTAAAATGCTTCCTTCCCATCTGTTTCCACTAATTTAATTTTTTATTTTATTTTATTTTTGTATTTATCTGTCTTGTATGCATTAGAGTTTTGCCATTGTTTTTACTGTCTCCCTGCACTAAGAGCACAATGGTAACAGGTTCTTTTTCTAGGTAATGAAAGCATCAAAAGTTGGGTACAAAAACATTTATTTAATTGTTAGTTAACACACTTCTTTTCTTTCTGGAGACTGTGGTTGGCTAACCTGATGGTTGCAGGTACTTTCCTGTGATCCTCATTTCGTGTAGGTAAAATGCCAGTAAACAAATTACTAGGGAAGAACTTTGAATCATAAATTATTTTAAGTAGCATCTCAAAACACGTAGGGGATTTTTCTTTTCCCATAGAGAAACAACTTTATGCCCTTTCAAAGCCTCTGTGTATAGAGTTGAACTAAAGCTGAAGAAAGACAAGTCCTACCTGTTTTTCTTTCAGAGGAACTTTCATTTTTCTTGCTAGGATAAGATATTTTCAGCACAATGCAGAAGTGTGTGTGGAGGGAGAATAAGCAAAAAAGATTGGCAAGGCATACTTACCACAACTCAAATTGTTTTCTGCCTTCAGTGCTGAAGTTGGAATACTCCAGAATTCATTTTCCCAGTCTACAATGTTTCCTTTCACATCACAGCTGAGGTTAGCCAGTGTTTGAGCATTCATGGTGAAATTCCAGAGGCGGAAGTTGTAAACGTCCCCATTTAGAGAGCTCACTTCATTGCTGTTAGAGCCCAGCACAAGCCTCCCATTTCCAGGGATAACTTTGCCAAACATATCTGGACAGTATGTATTACGATAGATGTTTTTGGCGTATACACCAATAGTGCCCGAGAAACTATCCCCTATGACACAAAGCTGTTCAAATGTTCCTGTGAAAAACTCCACATTTCGAGGCAATGCGTTGTCCAGTATGCATTGTGTGCCTGAGATGGACAGAAAATGGCCTTTTGTGGTCTTCCCAAAGCCGAAAAATTCTTTTGATGATGCATCAGTATAAGAGAAAATCTTCCAGTCATCATTGTCATCACTGCCACTCTTGGTTGCTTCAAAGCATAGTGTGAACTGGCTGAGCTCTGGAACCAAGACTGTTTCTGCCACCGATACAGCATCAGCGTCAGGATCCTGGGGAATGATGACCTTCTGATTCCTCAGAGACACAGCAACTAGAAAAGAGAGGAGATAAATTATTTAAATTGAAGGTATTCTCATATAAAAATAAAAGCAGACTGGCAGCAGTTTAGTGGGTTTTTTTATTATTTTTTTATTTTTTTTTATTTTTTTTTATCAGTGCAATGTATCAAAAGCACACACTGTAGGGAATTTGGCTTGGCAGAGTGTTTAACCTAAAACATGTGGAGTTCCTTTTCAACAGGGTGGAGAATGCTGCACTATCTGCAGTTAACTCCCCAAGTTGTACCAAGAGCAATATTAGGAAATATTGCCTACTAGTTTACACTCATTTGATAAAACATTTGTTTATTAACATTTATTCATCAAGGAAAGATGTAGTAGGCAATAGAGAAAAACAGTTATTTGGAAAACACAGTATGATTTTTGAAGTTCTAATATTTTGATTACTTGTCTTCATGACTGCATTACACCAACAAAGTTCAGATTTTACTTTTAAATATCAATACTGCATTAGAAGAAAAATTCCTCTACATTTCTTGGCAAACTGAAGCCCTTTGTTCCTGAATTCTGGTAATGAGTAACAACAACAACAACAACAAAACATTAAGCATCTTCTCATTTTGTCTTCAGCAATCTTCAGATTCAGCATTGTAGTTACGTATCCAGTTTGTATTCAAACTGTTCCCCTTTTGTAAATGTGTTCCAGATTTTGCATGAGCATCTAGAAGTGGCTAGTCCTCTTCTAAAGCAATGCACTGCAGTAAGGGCATGGGCAGAAGTACTTTGTCTCTAATTTTTTAAGCATTGTCACTTGCACTGGCAAAATAGCAGTTACCAAATGTGAAACGCAGTATTAAATGACCATGAGGGTATTAATGACAATTCTGCTGAGTCTACTTTGGAGAAGATTATTTTTCAAAATATAGTGCCAAAATACTCAGTTTTATTGGATCCTTATGGCACAAAAAAAATTCTAGTGAATTTCTCCACAGAAATAAATTTCAGGTTATCAGTCATGCAAAAGAACTGAAGTCAACAAGACCAGATACACAGCAGTAGCCCTTCTTTGTTTCTGGCTCTTTATTTCTGTACTGTGGCAGATCATATCTCCAGGAAATGTCTGACATCTTCCTAACACTCTAGATATTCTGAAACTGAAATTGGATTTTGCTAGACCTGAAGATAACTGCCACATGAAATGCCTAGTCTTCCTTAGGATTTTTAAATGGTGCCATGTTACATACAATAACTATTATACCTTCTCCCTTCTGAGAGTGAAAGAAAAATTTTCCATTTGAGAGGGTAAAATATGTAAGAGAAGAGTGATTGTTATGCCACATTCTGGAACAGACAGATGAGCTATAAAGATCGTACATGTCCACTGTATTACACTTTCTCTTTGCCAGCAGCTGGCAATGAATCTGAGCCCCAGACTACCATATCTGGGCATACATAAGGACAGAATTTGATCAATATATATATCTCAGTAAAATAACATAAAGCATTACCCTTTTATGTGCCAAAGCAGCAACTGGAGAATGGGGCTGAAGAGAGAAATCCTGGGCTTTTACAGTTACTGGATTTACTTCATAGATTTTTCTTCTTTCCCAAGGGCAAAAATATGTTGTAACAATTTTATAGATAGAAAACGTGCTCAACTTTCCACTGAAAACAAGGGCTTTTTTTTTTGTGGCTTAATTATACTGTACAGTTCTTTATGTAACATGGAAAGTGTTCCAGAAGTGTAAGGATTCAAGTCTTGAGAAAGAAAAAAGCTCATTCATATGAGCACCACTCAGTTGATGTTGGAATGGTCAGGAGAGTTATGGACCACCTGGTTACATTTAAACAGTGTAAAAGAAATAAACTGGAAGAAGGAAAGCTGCTGTCCTGGTAGTGAACAAATCTACTCAACATTGCTGTGCTTTCCAGAGTCAATCGTTGGCACTTTCCCATACAGCAAAAGCACAAAACTGACAAGTATTCTGTACATGTGGAGAAAAAAAAATCCTGACATCAACATTAGGAGCTCTCTCTCAATCACTTTTGAACAGTCAGTCATCACACTGATGAATTTTGGATGTTAGCATTGAAGAAGATAATTATTCTCTGAGGAACAATACATATATTCTTGGTCTTTTCATGTAGGAATTTATACTACATTCAGGGTGATGCTAAACTGTTTCTGCTAGGAAGATAACAGCTTTTATATTGGACACATTACTTTTTACTTGTATAAAATGTAAATAAGTCTTGGCAGCTGAAATGCAGCAGAGCGACCAGCAACAGATAGCTCACTGTTCTGAAATCCTCATCTGCATTTACAAAAGTGTTGTCATGACAAGAAGTCTGCTTCTGCTTCTTTTTAGAGCTCCTACCTTACTTGCTTTCAGATCATGGTCTCACATACTTCCCTTTACATACAAGCAAAAATAACTATTTTACGATAATTTGGGGGGAAAACTGCTTTTCTGCCATTTTCTAGCTTCACAGCTTTTAACTGTCCTTCAACTGATACCGGAAGAAATATACCAGTTTTTTTGAGTTTTACCAGTGTCTACACACCACATACCATATAGGCTGCACTCATTTATTGCTGCTGAGTGTACAGCTCATCTATCTGCTTTTGGTGTGTTGCAGGAGGCAACAACCAGGAAAACCAGCATTTGTGTGGGCAGCCAGCTTGTTACGGATAGCAGGATGTGTTCTGTGAAACTCGTTTTGAAAACACTGTTCCACAAATGCTGTTTTATTCACAGCTAACTTCCTCCCCAAACTCATACTGTTTGGTTTTCCCCACCTATATTTTGCTGTGCGCGCATTTTGTATAAGGATGCACTATTTGTTTCATTTTAAGTTAAATTTCTAGATAGCAAACAGTTGTGTATCTTTGAATGGTCCTTTACATTCCTTTATCAAACACAAAACTGAACAAACAATTTTATTATTTTTACAGGTTTGCTTCTAAGACATGAAGGAAAACATGGCTACATAACTATAATATAGTAACCTCTCTGGGAGAAATTCACGATATTGCCTGGGTATCGTGTTCACAATAGTAACAATGTCAGTTAGACAATGAGGCTTTGAAACTCCAACAGTGACCTGAAATGAGAGGAAGTAGCATCGCTCTGGAAATTCTCTACAAGAGCAGGAAAGTACTGCTCGGACATCTGCTGTGCAGATGTTTTGTAATTTCAGAGCATGTGTGTTGATGATCTAACGTCTACAGGCTTTTATAACTTATTTTCTATGAAAGGAAAGCAGTACATTATCACCCATTTACCAAAACTCTTTTTCTGTATTCACTTCCTGGCTAACAGTTGCCATGCAGAACATGGCCTATATGTTACAATTTCTCCCATTTGCATGCAGCCAGCTCTCCTTCATAACATCTGCAGTCAAATTCAAGTTGAGAGTTACCAGTTCGGAGTAAGGAAACTAAATTCAGGAACCTTCGTCAAGGTAGCTTAACAGCAGGCCTTAACAGTGATACCTAAACTAACACACATGAAACATTTAAATGTAATTTGCTGGTGGAGTTCACTGACACCTTTAGCCACAATGAAGGGTAGCCTTCTTATTCACAATAAAAGGGTATCTTCCAAGACTATTGAACTGTAAGAGTGCTATCCATGAAGATAGGGCACTCTTCAATTTGGCATGGAGGTAATATTTTTGCTTTCACAGAAATACCAATAGATACGGATATAAAAATGTTTGCCTCCATGGTCCTCTTCTCTTGTCCTCATGTGAGGATAATATTGCATCTTAAATTCCTAATAAAAGTCATTTTATTTGTTAAGATTGAGCACTAGAATAATAAAGAGAAAGAATAACACAATAAATCACGTTGCATAATCTGATTACATATCATTTTATATGATCTACTTGATTTTACAACTCCTTTAAACAGAGAAACTAATTTTGTCTTACAATTCGGGAGATTATTTTAAAATATTATATGTGCAATAAGTATTTTGATATTTCTTTTAATGAAAAAGATTTGCTTGTTACTTAAGAGATGGCTGAAAATTTCCTTTCTAGACGATCAGCTTATGTTCTATAAGTGTGCTACAGTTGGGCAGTCCCCAGTACAAGGGATACAAACTAAGCAATGCATTGATTGAGAGCAGTCCTGTGGAGAAAGACATGGGGATCCTGGGGATGAAAAGCTGCACGCACCTGATCTAACATTGGTGAAAAAAAGGGCAATGGTGTTAAACTAAAAGGGGAAATTTAGGTTAGATATTAGGAAAAAATTATTTACTCAGAAGGTAGTGAGGCACAGGAACAGGATGCCCATTGAAGTCATGGGTGCCCTATCCCTGGACGTGTTTGAGGCCAGACTGGATGGGGCCCTGGGCAGCCTGAGCTGGTGGATGGCAGCCCTGCCCACATTAGGAGGGTAGACTTACTTGAAGGGACTCATGTCCCTTCAAACCTAAGCCATTCTGTGATTCTATGATAAACCAGCAGTATGCACTTGCAACCCAGAAGGCCAACCTGGGCTATCCTGGAATGCATCCAAAAAGCAGTGGCCAGCAGAAAGAGCAAGGTGATTGTACCTCTCTACTCTGTCCTTGTGAGGCCCCATCTGGAGTACTGCATCCAAACCTGGGGTCTTCAGCACAAGAAAGATGAGGAGCAGCTGGAATGGGGCCAAAATAGGGCCACAAAGATGATCAGAGGGCTTGAGTACCTATCCTACAATGAAAGGATGAGGGAGCTGGACTTCTGAAGGAGAGAAAGTTTCAGAAAGAACTCACTGCATCCTTTAAATATATAAGTGGGACATTGAAGTAAAATGAAGAGACTTTTTATCAGGGCTTGTAGTAACGACACAAGGGCAATGGTTTTAAATTAAAAGAAGCAAATAACCATCCTAATGTCCTCATTTATGTGGCTGTCTTTTACTGTTATGCTAAGAACAACTTCTTGCAGTACCTTAACACTGCAAAATAAACATCAGTCACATTTGTCATCTTCACTGAGGAGAAAAGCGTGGATAGAAAAGTGTCTTTTTTTGCAGTTGCTAGGATTTTTAAAATCTAATCGTTGCTATATATTTAAGAAAATAAAAAAAGGTCAAGGAATACAGGTAGCAGTTTTGCAATGACGGTTCATCCCTGAGAGTTTACGTTACAGACTGGAAAAAACCTTGAAGAAGTTCTGTATTTTGCATGAACTTCTCCCCATTGTAGGGTGATTCACCTCGCCAGTGGTTTTGGCTCTCCTTGTTTCTTTTGGCTAAGAACCTGCTCATTATGGTCTTCATATTTCCGTATGTATGTCCCACTTTTAAAGTGCCCAACAAGAATTGTCTGAAAGGGGCACTGCTGGGCCTACAATCTTTGTGTGATAGAAGTGTTTCTAATGCATTAGAGAGATTACATGTCCTAGAATAAAATAATTTACTTTCATCTGCAGAAAAGCAAATTAGTTAAAAAAAACCACACATAAGTCTGTAGAATTATCCTTCAGCTTCCCCATTACCTATCCCTCTCAAGGAGCACATGATTCCTTTGTAAAGTGTAATTCTAATAACCTGTAAGAAATTTACTTCTAGCAGGATATTTTTTCTGTAAAAGGGATAAAATGGTTTGTGTTTACTTACTTCGTACATAGCTGGCATTAAAACCTTTCTTTTGGATACTGAAGTCGCTTTTAAAAGACACAATCATTTCATTTCCAGTAGAATTATATGACAATCCCTTGGCAGTGATGCCACAAAGGTTCATTGGGCTCTCTCCATTGTCCAATGTCAATGAGTCATAAATGCAGCCCGGTGCTTCTTCAATGTCAAAATCACTGAATGTTAGCTGTATAATGAATCCATGAGGTGCTCGGATGATCCATTTACAAGCTTGGCTGTTGGGATAATCATTTGGATAGCATGGAGAAGTGAAAACTCCAGAGGGGTCAGTTAGCACAGTCCTACAGTTGTAGCATCCATGCGCTGGCAATGAAAACAGAAGGAGGTCAGGAAGAAAGATAATTTAACAGGAAATTGTCAACTCTATGACTGTACATTTCTATACAGAAAAACATGAAGAAATATGGGGGAAAGAAAGGCAAAAGAAAGCCTCATATTCGGTGTGCAAAATGCTGGAGGAATAGCACAGCAAAATACTATTTTACATAAGAATTCCCACACAAAAGGGACAGAAGTTATACTGCTGAGTATTCATTTGTATAAGCTATGTATATCTGCTATACTTATTGGTCCATTGCGCAAACACCAGTGAAGCAAAAAAATTTTTGAATTCTCAAATGCAAATGAATACTTAAACTAAAACTTCAGAGAAGATGTCTGGTATCCTTTCTATCTTTTGGCTGTTGGACAGATGCTGACTGTTGCTAATATGTAGCTTCATGCCCCGTCATTTTTCCCAGTGGAATGTCCTTGGAATGCAGCAGCACAAGAGATGGGCTGAGGAGCCACAGCAGCAGCATTCTGCAGTGTCCAAGGTTAGTCATCAACACTTCCGGCAAGTGCTTTCCACATCACCCAAAAGGGGAGCAGTGAGCCACAGGCCTCTGAATCAACACCACATTACTGAGCTTCTTCCCATGCTGACTCAGCTCCACTGAGAAGTTTGTGGCAGTCAGGCTTTAAAATATTCTCATCCTCTTCCTCGTGCACCTTTGTACACTTGCTGTGCTCCTTCACGAGAATTTCAGGCCCTGCTAATCCTCAGGGATGCATTTCTTGCCCTTTTTACAGTTACCTTGTAGTGTATTTTATGACATGAAGATGAGCTGCCTGCTGTTGAAATATGTAAGTTTGCTGAAGCAGCACAGAGTTAACTAGATGGGAACAGAATTCTACGAATTGATAACTGAAGAAACTAAGCAGCTCATTTGTGCCAAATTACTTTCCAAACATTTCATCAAGCACCAGACTAAACTAGAAACAGCTCAACAAGTTGTTGTCCAGTTATGTAGGGATCAACCCTAAAACAGGAATAAACACAACAAACTTCTCCAAAGTACCCTCAACGTTTCTTTCCACTGCTTGGCTCCTTATGAGTCACATTCATACGGTACTCAGCCTTAGCAAGCAGACCCTGACTCTGGGAACCAATGTGGCAAAAAAAAAAAAACAACCAAAAAAGAATACATCTGAAAGGAGACTTCCTAGCAACATTGTGCAGAAGTGTTGCCGTGTATCTTGTGGCCCCTAGAAGGTAAAGAGATTAGTAATTAACTGGATTTTCAAGTCAAATACAGGCTGACTATGTAGGAAATGTTGGAGACTTATTTGAGAGAAAAAAAAAAAAAAAAAGATTATCTTAAAGATTTTCAATCACCCCTGGGAATATTTCCCTCCTGAAGTTGGAAACATTACCTGAACAGTACAAGCTGGAACCTGTATAATCTAACTTCTCTCCAAATCTGTATAATCAGAGGACTACACTCATCTGTCCTGAAATCTTGCTGTTCAATTTCTTAACCAGAGAGGGAATATTTAATTATTAGTGCAATTAGCATAAATTCAGCAGTTGTTCAAGCAGATGACAGCTTTGTACAAAGGATTTTGCAGAGATACGTATCAGTTTTCAGAGAACAGCCCTATACTGAAGAGAAGAGAAACAAGAAAAGCAGCTGAATCATAAGCCACAGGTATCCTAGTCCAGGGCAAGTGAGCCTCTACAAGGTGGAAGTTGGCTCTGGATGAAGTAGCCCTCCAGCTGGAAGACTCCATGATTCATAATTCATATTCCTGCCTTCATTATTTCTAGGATGAGTGCTACAGTGGCTGAAGATCTGGTAGTATGCTGTACCCACTCTCCTATCCATTTCTGCTAGAGAAGTAAGTGGCACAGAACTATCTGGGCAGTTGAGAGCTTTTGCTATGTATCAACTATGCCCAGATGGACTTGGAGCCAAGGGCTAAGCTGTTATGTTATGAAATCACATATGGGTGCTAAAGCGCTCTCATTCAGCACTGTATCCCTAAAGTATAACTTTAGTGGCATTATAAAACATTGCTGAACTCGAAAAGACTGAAAGAAATGTGGTATTTGTCAGTAAAGGTAGTCTAATGCACCTCTCAAACTGATAGGATATTGCATTCAACCTAAGACTGGAAAGGGTAGATTTGTCCATCAAAAAGAATGGACTTTCTTAGGAGAAGCCTGACTTCACTACTTTTATTGATCACCATCAGCCAAAACAGGACTCAGCTCTTTTTTATTTATCTTATTTATCTTTCTCCTGAATGATTGCAATTATCTCTAAGCTATTTTTAAAAAATGTCAGAAAACATGGTAAAAATACTTTCGTCTTTTGTCACTGCAAATACAGAAATGTAGATGTTATTTATTTTACTGATTTTTTTTTAACTCATTTCATCTTTTTACACTAACATACTCTCATGTCATTACATCCGTACTGTTTTGCTAGTTTTATAAAATTAATGAAGTTAAAAAAGCCCCTAACTGGAGGTAGGAAAATAAGTACTGCACACTTTACATATGTAGAAGAAACAGATTTGGAGAGGAAAATATCTTTCACTTTGGCATAGCGGCTCTTCTGTCCATGACTGCAATTTGAAGGAGAAATATCCTGTTTTCATGTAAATGTCCACAGTAGTAAGTAAAAAGGAAAGAAAATAAACAACAAAACTATATATAAACAGAATGGTTTTGAGTGGAACTTTTTGCACAGCTTCTCATGAGACAGTTATTTTTCTACAAACACTGCCTATTTTACTCATTAAAGAGAAAAATTGCTGTGGCAACTCTAGGCTGTCAGCCAAAGCTGACAGATATTTTGCAATCCCATTGGCCTGGAGCAGTTCTGAACTGTGGATACTGAATACTTGTTTCAATACATGCCACAAGCATTTCTGCAAGCAATGTGAGATAATTTTTTAATTTTAATGGGAATAAATATAGGTATATTTTCTTGGTCAAGAACTCTAACTGCACAGAACTTGCCTATCAAATATTTTGTTATCAACCTAGACCACAGGAAATATACTCCATAGAGTGAAAAAACTTTCACTTTTTCTCCCCTCTTGAATATGCTAAAAAACATCAAATAAACAGCCTCCAAATGCACGGAAATCAAACACTTATTTTCCACATTTCTTACACTGAAAGCATCACACAGCATCTCATTTATTTCCTTCATGGGAATATCCTGGAGAAATAGTTTTCATTTCATAATCATATTATTTTTTTCTAAAGGATTTATGCTTCACTTAATAAATGAGTAGTTAAGAATTGAGTATGACACTGGAACACTATACTAAAAAGTAAAATCAATAAATTCCTCTAGAGAATTTTAGAGCTTTCACGAATGTTACTTGACCCACAAACACTAATGGAGAAGCAGAATTTTCCCTCCTATCATGCCCATTTTGTAAGGACAAAGTTAGACATAGAGATAATGAGAAAAAAATGGCAAGTTTCCATGGATTTTGAGTTCCCAATCTGAGAAACAAGAGTTCTGATTTTCCTTAACTACTTAGTATTTGTACAGCATTTCATATGTCCAAAGCATACTACCAGTGACTTTAAACTCCAACTGGGAGAGCAGTCTGCCAGTCTGGTCCACTGTAGAAAATCAAAAAATGAGTACTTAGTGGCCAGTGGAAAACTATGGTCATAAAAATTTCTTCATCTTTAATAAGAATTTATGAGTGAAGGGGGGGAGAGAATCCTGTTTTCACAGCTGCCAGTTTTTCCTAGCCATGGGACCATTCCCTTTCTTCTGTGAGTCTGTTGCCTATTTCACATATCTACCTTTTAATTTCTACTAAGAGTTAATATTTCTGTGGAACTTTTTCTTATACCATCCTGAATCATCTGAAACTAAAGGGCTAAGGGAACCAGTATGTTATTAATTGAAAAGACCAATGTGACTTACATGACTAATATAGACGTACTTACACAAAACCCATATCCCGTGGAACAAAATTAATAGCCCACCTTGACTCATCAAATGATTTTGCGTTTTTAGAGCCTTGGCACATCCAGTTGAATTAGAGAAGACACCTGTGGACACTGAGATAATGCCATCTGGAAGTGGCTTTCACAAACCATTTGTGAACAGCTGAAACCACAGAGCTATAATGTTGACCACTGGTTTAAAGAAGGAAACTTTCTGAATAAACTCTTCCCATACATTCACACTTCCTTTTTTCCACCTTTTACGTCCAATATACTTCTGCATTTACTTCCAAAATCTGTGCTTACATACATATTTTTATCTGGCTCCGTGTATTTCTCTACTTCTCTCTAGAGTCATAATGTTCCCCCTAAACCTCATCTTTTGCCCCATCATATTTTGCAATTACATCTTAGTCAAGAGTTTTGAATTTTACTTCTCTGTATGCTTTCACTTCTACTCTTAGTCAACCGAGGAGAACTGACGGACTGCAAATTTTGTTTGGCCAAGAATTTTTTTAAAAACCAAAAGCAATTCAGCTTGGATCATTGCTCAGTTCAGCTCTAACAGCTCAAAGCTGAACGTTAGGATCAGAAGTAAACAGTGTCTATAGGGAAAAATATCTGCTCTAATAATTCGTTCACTATACAGTTTATTTTCATACTGAGTTACACTTTGCAATAGGACTTTTCTTTTTCCATCCACTGGCTGTAGCAATGAACTGGCCCCTCTATGCAGTATTTTCCACCTGACAGAAGTGCAAATGACTACACAGAGCGTAGGCAGTAGCACAGGATACCAATGATAGACTGTGTGGGTTGAATTAACACTGTTTTTCAGTATTTTTTTTTTTAAACCATTGAAAGATTCATAAAAGTAAGATTTTGGTATAAAGTTTAACTCTACTTCTGCCTGTAGAGGAGACACGTCATATGAAAATATCCTGATATATATCTGTAAATATGGGACTGAATTTTCAGAAAACAAAACAAAACAGTTTATATTACCTTCTGTCTTATTCAACTGAACAATAAAATCTCCCCTGCTGACAGAATTAGA